AATTAACCATACATACCTCGTGAAAGCATCTACAACAATTAATATATGTCGATTACCCAACTTACTTCTGACAAGGGGCCCAGCTGTGTCGATATACAAACAGTCAAGGGGTTGTTTGCTTAAACCTGACACTAATTCACCATTAAATCGTTGCTGAGGAGGTTTTGCCTTTATACAAATCTGACAATCTTTTACACGTTTCCGCATTTCAGAAACTAAATTTGGTCTGTAAAAGTACTCTAACACTTTATATACAGTGCGATTTTGACCTTGGTGACCCCCAAAATTTGACGTATGATAGTAATTGAATAACATATCTAACAAGCTATTTGGTACGTAAATCCTACCTGTCTTGTTACCGGGCTTACTATACATTAAAGTTCCATTCCTAATGTAAAAATTGTCCTTACATGTCTTATTTGTAACACTTTGTATAATTGCTGCACATTCTGGATCTAATCTTTGGTGTTCTGCAATGTTTACATAAGCTAATGGTATATTCGACATGCTGTTTATTACAGGTTTAATTTGCCTTTTGCTCACAGAACTGAATTTCTTTTTGTTTTTACATTTCACTAAACTTATTTGTCTAGGATCTGATTCTACTTCAATAACTTCAATTCCGCTCTCAGACATATTGAGACGTGACAAAGCGTCTGCCACAGGGTTTTCTTTACTTTTGACATGAAGAACTTTAAAAGGCAATGCGATAATTTGTTCTACCCACCTTGATAACTTTCCCAACTTGTTAAAATGTCCCAATACCCAGCTAAGAGCGCTATTGTCAGTTATTAAATAAAATGGCTGAATTTCTAAATACATGTAAAATTTCTTAATGGCTAGGAATACAGAGTAGGCCTCTTTTTCATACACAGACATATTCATTTCAGAAGGTGAGAATTTCTTACTATAGTACGCCACAGGTACCTTGTCACCATTGTCGTTACATTGCAATAATGTCGACCCTGCACCGTTTTGTGCAGCATCAGTAAACAGATAAAATTCCCGTTTAAAGTCCAGTATAGCAAGCACCGGAGGGTTTGTGATAGCTTCTTTTAATTTACAAAAACTTTCGTTACACTCTTTAGTCCATTCAAATTTTACTCTCTTTTTTCTAAGTTCGTTTAGTGGTGCTGCAATTTTACTGTAATCCTTTATATATTTTGAAAAGTAGTTAATCATACCAACAAAAGTTCCTACTTCTTTGCTATTTTTGGGAGTGTTGAATTTACGTACAGCATCTGTTCTACTTGGGTCTACTCTAATCTGATTTTTCGACACTAAGTTTCCTAAATAGCTTACTTCATTATAGAACAGTTTTACTTTCTTGGGGTTTACAGTTAGGTTGTGTCTACTTAACCTATCTAATACTTCAGTAACATGTTTCATGTGTTCCTCTTTGTTTTTTGAAAATACAAGTATGTCGTCTACAAAGTTAAGTACGTAATCAAACTTTACATCTCTAAAAACATTGTCTAAATAAGCACTAAGTAGCCCAGAGCCACAATGTAGTCCATAAGGGATTCTATTGAATTCAAAAAGGGACACTCCATTACTGAACGCAGTCAGATGCTTGGACTCTTCACTGAGGGGTATTTGCATAAAACTGTTGGACAAATCAATTACGGAAAATACATCGGCATTTTGTAAATATTGGTAAAATTCATCTAGGTTGCCTAATGGGTGATTTACTCGTACAATCTTTTCATTTAGTTTTGCATAGTTAATTACAAGTCTACTTGATTTATCTGGTTTTGCTACAAGGAATGAGGGACTACTGTAACTACTTATGCTAGGTCTTATAATTTTTTGCCTAAGTAGGTCGGATAGAATCTCCTTCATTTGGCCCATTTTTGTTGGATGAATCGGGTACGGACGCTGGTTGATAACCTCATTGTCCTTGAGTTGGATTTTAAATTCAAAATTCAATACCTTTCCTATGTCTGTAGTAAACACGTTAGAAAACCTCTCCTTTAAACTGTTTACAAAAGGTATCATGTCCTCACATCCTGTGTCTAACTGTTGCTCCTTGGACTCGTTATCACTTAACTTAGATAAGCACACAGACCTGCCTTCCTTACCATTTAGAAATACTTTAACATTTGGGTTAAATTTAAAATAACAACAATTTTTGCTTAAATCTAGTATCATTTCACTTTCTCTTAAAAAAGGACTACCTAAAATCATTTCACAACTCAGTTTCTTTATAACAGAGAACTTTACGTACCAGGCAAAGTTTATTATTTTAACTTTTACTACACATTCTCCCAAAATACTAATCGTACTGTTGTTTGCCGAAATACATGATTCTTCTTTATAATTCATACTGATAACTAACTTTTTTTTACATAAGCTATTGTACAAATTTTCACTTAATGCATTTAAACAGGCTCCAGAATCAATTAACGCGCTTACTTTTGGAACTTCATCAGACTTATATTTCCTTTCTAACTGGACGGCTATTGTAGGCAAATTAGACATTGTACATGATTTTGCTAAATTTATTTTATTCATAATTCTACGTTGAACCCTCTTAATTTTATACATTTCCTTCTTCGTAAATTTACTCAGATTATACTCATTATTTCCCTTAGCTTTATCTTTTACAGGGGAATGTTTTTGTTGCATAAAACTATTTACATGGCATGATCGTGGTTTATTTTGTACATGCACAAAACATCCCCTACTAACTAGTTTTTTTGATACTGATCCCTTCTAAAGCAATTTCTAGCTAAGTGTCCCTCACGGTTACACACATAACATTTTTTTGTGAATGGTACCTTCTGTTGAGTCGTTTGCTGACTTTCCCTTCTAACAGTTTCACTACGCTCTTCAGTAAGTCTTAAGTTATTTTTTACATCAATACTTAAACTATGTATACAAGCCTTTTCTAGGTCTGCAATGGTATTAAGATTTCTGACTAAAGACAGATTTACTCTACACCTTGGGTTTAAGCCAATTAGTATAAACTCTACCAGCTCAAATTCTGTATAAGAACAATTTAGTATTTTAGCATACTCTTTAACTCTATTTATGTACAATGGAAGGGGTTCATTGGTTTCCTGATGACGTGTGACATGTTGTTTGATTAGGTCCTCCCTAACGCTTATAGGTACAAACAATTTGACTATTTTCTCTTTAACAACCTCCAGACTATTTTCTAAGTTACTTAACATAACATCAAGAAGTGGAGATTGTGACTTAGCTACGAAAATTTCCAAAATCTGGGCATCTGACAACCTTGTTTCTTTTTGGACTTTGAATAAAATCTTAATGAACTCAATTAGCTCACTAGTCACTAATCCATTGCATGTTGTTATATCCTTTAGGTAAGTTTCTATTGGATTGGGTAACTTTCTATAAATTTGGGGATCAAAGGGTGCGGGGGTGGTTGAAGCACAGGCGTTCGAATCAAGGAGTGGAACTTTACACCTACTCAGTTCAGTTTTACGTTCCGGATGGGAAGGGGATGTGTCAGGATCATTTTCAAAAAATACATTTTCTAAATTCTCCTCCTCTACATTTGATTCACTTAGCTTACGGATCGACATTTCAACCGCGCTCTTATCGAATTCCAACGCTTCAAACTTATCTTTCATTACTTTACATTTTTCTAACAGTTCTTTACACTCACCCTTTTGTTTTTCTGTTAAACTACACAAACTTAACGCATTTAATCTATGCTTACAATGTTTGATTCGTGTATCTTGCCTTGCTAGCTCCATTGATCTACTGTCCTTAGTTAACTCTGCACATTTATTCTCTATTAAAACAATTTTCTCACTAATTAAATCTATTTCCTCATCCGGCACAATTTTTGTTTTAATTGAATCATAATTTACTTGGACCTTTTGAGATATAGCTTGTCTTAACATTTTTCTTAAGTCAACAACATTACTTGTTTCACTTAATTTTAAATTTCGTACTTCTAACTCAAAGATAAGTTCATCTTTTAACAATAAATCCACTTTAATCGTCATGTTTGCAAATTTGTATTAATTAACACAAGCTAAATACACAATTTAAAAGACAATTATTTTACACAAGATCCATGACTGATCCATAAAGCAGAGTTGCGCATTTTTTGTACCGTACTTTTTGTGTGTCACTTAACCGGTACAAATTTAATCTTGGGAAATACGATTGAATAACATATCAAATGAATAATAAATTTATTGGAGTATCAAAACTACAGCTAAACATCCTGCAGAACAAGACTTTTCAATTTAATGTACCTTTTTACAATTTAAGAAAATATTTAATTAATTCTAACCCCATTGAATAGGTACTTGAAAATTAAGGATAGGATATTAAAAGGTATTGTTCGTCTTCATTACTCGGAAACATCAGCCCTAATAACAAAACATAGTCTTTGTTGTAGAGTTACATTTAAATTTACTTTATGTTTATAAAATTATACAATCGAATACCAAACAAAACTTACTATTGTTGTAAACAGATCCTGCAAATCAAATAAGAACATTTATGTAATTTTTATATATTAGGCAACTTTAACAAAATAGTACAGTACCTTCAAGTGAAGGGTGAATCGCTGACGAAGAGAGTAAAAGAACCGCTGACCGTATAATACAGGGAGCCACCATAGGAATGGTCTCTGTCTCAGCAGTGGAAGGGTGTACCCCCACCACTTTACATTTTTGACTCATCACTCCTTACTTGTCCCTACAGGTTTCCTTCATACATGTAATCATAAATGTTATAATAAATGATTGGAAAATTATATAAAATGAATAATACAATATGGTACAACCTTTATTGATTTATTTTATTTGTGAGTTGCGAATGCAGGTAAAATACGAGCATTGACTGTAGAAACGTAACGTTTTCATATTCAATGATCTGAGACAAGAATAGTAATATTTTTCACTTCATTTCCATAGGCTATTTATTATATTGCTATGTTCAGAGAAAAGAAGAAAGGATGAACAAAAAGATTGTCTTTATCTAGAGCAGAAGCTTCCTCGAAGCTTGTCAACAAAGAACAAACTGGTAAATAAAAGCGCTCAAGAATCACGATAATTACGTATGGTTATGTAATTCAACTTCTAAATATCTACAATGCGGTGTATTTTAATCTTTTATAATCTTAATGATATCCTTTTCTCAAAATATGATAAGAAATTCTCTAAACATTTTCGAAAATTGGCCAAGAATCAAGGTTTGTTAGACGAGAATTCTAAGGTTAGTCGAATTTTTAATTTACTCCATTCAAACATAGTAGGCTATTTTGATTATAAGTTTAGTAACCAAACCTAACTAGGCTAAATGATTTTATTATGCCTGCTTTGTAGACTTTAATTATTTTGCACAGGTTCTAATTCCAAGGCTAAAATAGCCTAACTGAGATTCACTTAGCTTCTTCATTTGTATTAATGACCAGCTCTGAATTCTGAATAAATGCCATGTACAGTTCTACAGAGAACCTATGATATATTAATTAATTATACTTACACTTAGCAATATCATATTGTGGGAAAACTGTACTGCCTATTTTAATTGCAATACCGGTACCACAATGAATATCGAACCATTATTTACTCCGCTAATAACTTATGTATTAACTCATAAGGTTTTCTGCGTAACTGTAGTACCGGTCCTACCCAAAATGTCATCTAGGCCCTACTTGTATGCTAAAAGTGATAACTTACGCCTACTTTGTAAATGAAGCTAGGCCAATATGTGATAGTATCTCGTACAAAATTTATGTACTTGGCCTATTCTCCTTTATTTCCATCATTTTAGGCCAGACCTAGTGTTTTATCATTACTATTTTGTTGTTAGGAATAAATTGGGCCTGGTAATTATATTGATCACGGATGTCATGCTAAAATAATATTTTTTCACTAAGTTATTATTATGCAAAAAAATGCTGAACTAAAAAATGATTGTCATTTTTCCTGGAAAAGTCACATAAGTAAACACAGAAAGTCGGAAAATAACTGGATAACACTAATAACTGGATGCGAAGCAATTGTTGAAAATGTGAGGAACTGGGACTACTTCTCAATCTTATTCTATACGACAGTGCCGGGAATAATTACCTCAATTCCAGGGAATACTTCTGTTAACTGTCTGAGCCCGTTTACCTTTGGTAGGTTGTAGTTTTTCACAACTATTCAAATTTGTTTTCGAGGTTAATCAGAATAGTGTGAATTATATGTCTAGTTTGGTGATGAACGTAATCCCGTGAAAAGACTCAAATTGGCACAATCCCTCTCTAGCGGGCACTTTGACGTTTTAGAGCCACAGAAAACCCGTTTCTCATAATCGTCAGCCGATTCCGGAATTTTAACAAAATACGCGTAAACGGCGTAGCAGGTGCACAGACAAACAAAGGAAAAAGCAAGCAAAGAACGCAAGCAAAAGGTATAAACAAACTCATCCTGAAATACATTTGCCAAAGATTCAATGGATGGTGAAACATCTATCAACAATGACATATAATTCGAGAGTAGACTATGACCTATGACTATACCTTGGTGGCGAAAGATACCATGACGTTCAAATAATATAAGTACTGCGAAGCCTTAAAATGGAAAGAATAATCACCAGACATGTAATGCAATGGTGGTAAAGTGCAGCTACTACCTTTGCAGCACCTACCTAATCCTTTATGCGGTCTGGTCATGGGCAACCACTCTGAGCATAAACACTTTATGGACCCGGTGAGACATTATAATAGCTGCTTTAATATGACATCGATTGTAACGAAACAGGTTGTAGCTAAATTGTTGACTGAAGGCTGTAGGAAATTAAACAATAATTTATTAAAAATGTCAACCAATCTGAAAGTTCCCGTAGCGAAGCACGGGTATTCCGCTAGTCCATATATAACGCCCAAAGTACCCATGAACTTTTGAAAAAACTACAAGTCACCCCCCCATAAACCATATACTTAAAATGTTCGTCATGACAAGAAACCTTGTGCAAAACTATCCATTATTTCATAAATTGCCCTTTAAGGTCGTAATTCCTTTCTAAAGGCAACTATCCATATATCTTACCTTACCTTACCTCCTTGGCCATTCAAACCTAAGTTGGTTTTTGGCCTCGCCATCAAGTTGCCTCCAGTGTTTTCTGTCTGCTGCTTGGTCAAATTGATGTCCCCATGCGCTGAAGGTCTTTCCGCACCTGGTCTCCCCATCGTAGTTTGGGTCTTCCTAGTGGTCGGGTCCCTCGTGGTCGTCCATTTGTAGCTATCTTCAGGAGACTGTTTTCTTCTCTTCTCGCTATGTGTCCTGCCCACCTCAATCTTCGGCTCTTAACAATAGCTACTATATCTGGGTCTTCGTATAGTATAATTATATAGTATTTTTTATCCATATACCTAATGATAAAAATACCTCAGCTGTACTTATTTGTATGTTATTCTTTCAATTTATTACCTTATTAAAATCAGGTGTGATTATCTATATATTAATTACGTAAGCCAATTCTTTGTATCAAAATTTTGGGCGACTGGGAAGTTGCAGAACGACGGGAGAGGGCTCAAATTAAAGGTCTCGATCCCGTGACGGCGGGAAAAATAGTGAAATTCCCCAAATTTTAACACAAAATTAGATATAACGTAAAACGTTCTCCATAAGATTAGCATTGGAAGCCATTTACTGCTGATTTTTGTTTACTTCAATAGTTTAGTTAAATACAGCTGATCGTGATTTATCATTAGCCAGTAAGCAATCTTACATTTGGATTACTCATTTGCCAGTCCAATTCCGCAATGTACTGTATACTATATAAAACCAGGGATAACGTTACTTATAATAATTATGACTTTTAGTTATGTCCTACAAAGTTGAAATCAATTGTTTTACTGGGCATTTTTTTTATTTCAAAACATATGTTAAGGATTTATTCTAAAATTTTGTGTAAATCTACTAACATTTATATTTGAGATTAATTGTAATGTTTAATCAATATTTTAATTGGAGTGGAATAAAATCAACGGCCACTCTTAGAAAACAACCTGGGAATAAAGATGAAATAAGTTCGTACAAGTATTTGTGTTGATCAGAAACTAATCTAGGGATATGTTTGGTCAATAGGATGCCTTTACAATTCATGATGGTTTGCTGAATAAATGCTTCACTAAAATGCGTTATCGTTTTCTTAGCATAAACTAACATTTTGGAATTCAGACAGAAAAAGCAAAACTTATACAGTTAAGACATCAATTAAATTGAATACGCCTGTAATAAATAAGGTGCAACACCAACAATAGCTAATTTGTAAATTACAGTGATGTGTTGGTACGTAAAAATGATTCTTGCTGCTACCAACGGTTCAAAGGAAAAGAACCAGTACCAAAAACTAACGTTTACAGTTAAGAACTATAGTACATCCGACCAATTATATGCGTTAATCAAGGTTATTGATCTCTTGGTTTTGGATTTTCTCGTAAAAGTTATCGGCAATCAAAGTTATTTCCCATTAATTGCTTTATTTGTAAACAACTCTTAATGTAAACTTATCGGTGTCAGTTTGAAAAAAAAAAACATTAGAAGGAAATGTGACTAAAATCACACAACGTTGGGTTTTTGGACGTTTGTAATTTTTTTTATTAAGTAGGTAGGCCGTGTATTATAGGGAAAAGTACCAGTATCAAGGATCGTCGTCAACAAGGTTGTTATAAATAATTGGGTAGGCGTACGTACCCAAGAGATGGGCTATGGGCCTATTGGCTGTATGGTCCAGCGATTGCATCACACGGTGAGTAGGTGAGTAGATTGCATTGACTACATATAGTCAATGGAGGAACAGAAAGTGACACATTGGAAAATCAAGTTTAGCATCATCCGTAAACCTCTGTTACAATCACCCACTGCAGTTGTAATTTTTTACTTTACACTTTACAAAACAGCCATTGAAGCGCCGTCAATGAGTGGAACCTTGTTTCTAAGCTATTGGCGACAATCACTAATAAATTTAAGTTTCCCAGCCGTATACAACACTGATTCAATGTCTTCTTTCTGGTTATCAAAACTCCAGAACAATTTTATACACAAAGAATCTCTGGTTCCTGACCTGGATGATGCCTAGTTATTTAATTTAATTTACGGTTACACTATTTTATTCCACTTGCAATTAATTAAATCCTTTATGTAAGAAAAACGTTTTTAATCTCACTTGGATGGGATTTGCCTTCAAAACGTGATCGGAAATGGTTGTGGTATTTTTAAACAACATTTGTAAACATATCAGTGACAGCTAGAAAAAATAATCTTGATCCGAACAGCTGTTCGTTATTTCATAGATGATTATGTGATAAAAATTGGACGAAAACTTGACAAAAATCGCACAAAACTGCATTTTTGAACGCCCGTAATTTTATTTACAAAGTAGTGAGGCCATATTTTAATGGCTAAAGACACTCTCGCCAATCCAGTGAATACATTAAAATGACTCGGATCTTGATAGGTACTCTCGTCTTCCTGGAGAAGATTGCGTAAAATGCCATCTTGAGTGTTACAGACAGACAGAAAGACAGACAGAAATTTGGATGAGAATTGTTTCGGCTTCTTTAATGTATAAAACGTAAAAATAACCTAAAAATTTATGATTCTGAGCAATGTACAGACAAAACTCTAATTTTATTTATATAGATAAATAATTTTAATGACTACAGAGGTTTAACTCTGCTAGAGGCAGAAAACATGTTTGTGAATAAATATTGGTTTGCTAAGGTAGCTTTGGTCTTTTGGTTAGTGATAAAACTGCTTCCCTGATTGAAATATTGGAAATAGTCTTTGCTAAATTCAAATATGAAAAGACAAATAAAGGTGTGTTGAGATAAGCTTACAACCGCTAAATTAGCACCCTGACCTAGGTATTATTTCTAAGTTTATATTCCTTTTGTAAAGGGTTAACAAAATTATTGTAAAACAAAGGCATCCTATTGACCAAACATATCCCTAGATTAGTTTCTGATCAACACAAATACTTGTACGAACTTATTTCATCTTTATTCCCAGGTTGTTTTCTAAGAGTGGCCGTTGATTTTATTCCACTCCAATTAAAATATTGATTAAACATTACAATTAATCTCAAATATAAATGTTAGTAGATTTACACAAAATTTTAGAATAAATCTTTAACATATGTTTTGAAATAAAAAAAATGCCCAGTAAAACAATTGATTTCAACTTTGTAGGACATAACTAAAAGTCATAATTATTATAAGT